CATCAGGCGCTGGTTGGCGGTCGAGGAAGAAGGGATCGTTATCTGATGACATGGTTTGGAATGTAGCAATACTCGCGGGTCCTTGACGTCTGCTAAGCACGCTGTTGTAGGACGCATGTCGGCGGAGAGAGCCTGCCCGCGCCAGGGAGTTCTTGGCCGACCCCCGGCGTCGGAAGGAGTGCATCCTTTCTGGGCCCGCAGAGATGGACCTCCTTGTTTGTCTGGTGGTGGGTCGTCTCGTCGACATTCGCGAATAGCGGTGCTCTTCTGTCGCTGTTGCTGGGCGAGGCTCTGGATCGTCGTAGAGCTCGGAATGCCTTACTGGGGCAGCGGGCTCACTAGCCAATTGCTCATTATTTGCCTCCTCTTGCTGATGACTGTCCAGCTTTGTTGCTACCTTGTCGAGATCGGGTACCAGGGTGTCCGATATGACGGGCACGGGCGGTGGCCCGGTGTCGTCAATGATCACTATTGACTTGCTGCCGCTGGTGATGGCGCTGTGTACGCGAGGGTCTTGTGCTTTCTGGCGCTCCTGCTGGGTTGGAGTACCACGCCTGTCGAACTCAAACTCGAATCCACCGAGATCAGGGGGCTCGAGACCGTGTTCCTGACTTTCACTTTCAAGCTGCTCTTGGACAGCCGCTCTAAAACTCTCTGCAACTGCGGCGGCCAGGACGTCAATGCGCACTTGGGGCTTTGGTCGAGTGGGACGTCGCTTATGTACGCCCCCTGAGATAGAGACTGAAGACATGGCGCCTGGATTGGAGGATCGCACGTATGGCGGCTGCCGTTGTTGCCCAACGCTACCTAATTGAGGGCTTGGACTCATATTCTGCCGGGTGCTTAACGCGCGGCGTACACTGCCGAAGATCTTCTTCATGCCTGGAGAAGTCGCATGCCCGGGTCTCTGGAATTCGTTCGCTTCCGCATCTTCGATGTCATGCAAATACTGAGACCTTGAAGGGCGTAGAGCTCTGACCTCGAAGTATGGGGAGCTGGGCTGGAAGAGTCCACCACGGACTAGCGTGCCGGGCATGTTTGTGACAGCAGACATGGCAAAATCTGCGGGTGCGTTCTTGGGAATGGATAGTGGCGCTCTGCTGTCTCGAAGAGCATCGGTAAAGCTGCCGCTGCGCTTGTGGCCATGCGATGGGCGGTGAGCGTTCTTGATGGATGCTGGTTGTTGTGGACTGGCTGTCAGGCGAGCGGTGCCTGTGGGAGCTGGGTTGCTGACTGGTACTGGGTGGGGATATAGGGGAAGCTCAACAGCCTGATCGTGTTTGTGCCGCATGGGTATTGAACATGATAGTACATGCATGCTCTGCTCACTGGCGGGCGATAGGGGTATCTGGTGGTTCTCGTATTCTTGCGAAATGTAAGGCGAGCTCATGGAGTTCTGAGGCGTGTGCCGTGCTCTTTGCGCCCAGTCCATGTGCCGACTGGCAAAGTGATCGCTTGGATTTGAGCCGATGGTCTCCTTGGTGTCCCGGATGTTTGCTCGTGGAGGAGTCGAGGGCAATGGAATTGGTGGGGGAGGCTCTTCGTATGCCGCTTGTGATCCATCGTGTCCGCCCGGGAGCAATTCGTCGTCCGCAAAGTTCTGCCCAATGTGGTCTTCCATCTCCCAGTACAATGCGCACGTCCGCCTCCAGCACTTCTTCAGTTCCCCAACAATCTTTATGTCACCCCCGCCTCCATCTTCTCGGTTCCGGAGATCGTTGTACAGGCTGTTGACAAGGTCGCAGAAATTGGTCCGTAGGGAGTAAAAGGGCATGAAGTCGTCAACGAAGTAGTTCAGGATCCAATGGCGGAGGGCTACGAAGGTGCGTACACGGACAATGCGCCCAAAGTCGTCTTGGCGGTCGACGGCCCATCGTAGGCGGGAGATGAGGTATGCGACGAGATCTCGGGTGCAGAGGAAGGCGCGGAAAGTAAGGAAGAAGTCGGAGAGGAGTTCGTAATCCAGGAAGCTGGGCGAGGTGATGTGCGCAACGAGTCGGGAAGGGGTGGCTGCGAGGATGTCGCCGTCGGCGTTGAAGCGCACAACAGCGCGGTCGTCGGGGTTGGTAGTGAGGGCATCGTAGAGCCGGGGGCTGATAGGCATGTGGGAGACGCGCGCTGAAGAGGGACCAGAGGGGGGCATTGGCGGGCGGTCCATGGTGGCGCGGAAGCGGTGGGGGACGGGCGAGTAGGCGTCTGATCGAGGGCGCGACGACAGGAACGACTGCCGCACCCCTCGCTGTGGGGTCAGGAGCGAGTTCGCAAAGTCGTCGGCGCCTGAGGTTCGGGTGTAGACCGAGGAGCGCAGGTCGGCGGTCCCCCGTGTGCTGAAACGCGGAGTGCCCAAGCGGTAATGCGGTATGGGGACCTGCAGCAGCGGGAACGACGACGTGTCTGCCGTCTTCGGGCGCATGTGCGACGGGCGCTCAATCACCACCTTGAAGGTGCCCGGCTCGTGGCTGAGCGTCGTGGCCGTGTGGTCGTCGACAGTGGAGAACGAGTGCGAGCGCGCGTGTGCAAGTGGGCGTCCAGCGGAATCGGCCTGGGAGTGCTGCTGGAAGGCATTGCCCTCGCTCAGGTCCGGTAGCGGCGGTGTAGGTTCCGAATGGGGTGTTCGCGAGCCGTAGAGACTCTGCTCCCACTCATTGCTCAGCGGGCGGAGTTTGTCGAGTGTTGCGCTGTCAGGCGGCGTCTGGGGCGGGAAGACGAAGGGATCCGGCTGACGGCCTCGCTGGTTTCCCGGACGGGCTACAGGTCTGGGGGTGTCAGTCTACGAGTCTACGAATGGTTGGTGTTGAGGTTGGTGAGGCATGGGATCATGTGAGGCATGACGTGCGCCTTCCTCGCGGGCTGCGTCCACTGGTCGCTCTTTCCTCATGTTCATGATGTTTACTGGCCGTAGAACATCGGCCGTAACATCAACACCAATCTCGACGTACCTCAGGTATATCACGCCGTTGTGGACGTTCGCAACCGTGTAGCTGCGGCCGGCCGAGGTCGAGTTGCTCGTCGTCGTGTCGATGGTGGCGTTGCTGGTGCCGCGTGCTCTCGTCCTCCTCTTGAGCTGCTCCCTCGAGTCCTTCACCCTCCGCAGGCGGCGCGAATCATCAGCGCGCCTTTTTGCCGTGTCTGAGCCTGCACCTGCACCCGCACCGGGCCAGATGTCGCGTTTCCCTTCAGCAGGGGAGCCCGGCGCAGGGAAGACATTGTGTTGCATTGCCGGTAGGGCCATCCTCCCCCATAGCACTTCAGCTCAGCGGGTACATGTGCGTGGTTGTCATCGACGACTCGGACTGTGCAGACGTCTTAATTACAAGTAGCAAGAGGGAATCGACTAGAGTTGATTCATGTGCAGCCCTGTCACATCGCCCAGCGCGCGCCATAGCAAGGCCATTCACCAGTCAGCGCCCGTGTCGCTTGGGCTGAACGCCGCCTGCATTGACCCAGGCCTGGCCGGGCTAATCTGACCTCGCTTCACTCCGTTGCTCCGCCTGGTGAACAGGGAAGGCCAAGTGATTACAGGTTTGCCCGTCTGCTTGCATCGCCGCGCACGCACTCGAACCCGCTCCAATGCAGCTGCGAACTGCTTTTTCGCTGCCCCTCGGTCCCCATCCTGCGAACGGCCGCCACGCGCCTTTGCCTCGACACCCAAAGCCACTACTGCCATGCTACTGCGATATTACGTCGGCTGCCGGGCGATAAGCTTCCAGCCACGTGAATATAAGGTTCCTCCAACTTGCTATCCCCGTGATCCCGAGCTTGTCATCGATGTTGATCGAGGTTATCCTACCCGCCTTGATAGTCGTTGTGCAACGGCCTCCACTCCCCCGTGGCCGCACAAGATTGCCAAAACAACAACGCATAGGACAATCAATAAACACATCATTCGCCCTGCGCTCCTGTACCAGGGTCCTGCCGTTTCCAGGCGACCACGCATCCATCCAGTGCCGCGATCTGCCACTGCATCGGTACTTTCTCCTCCCTGGCGATCCAACGCCGCCATTGGCCACCCTCATCATCTCGCTAAACAAGTGTTTCCCTCCATCGCAATCCCTTAGCATCCTGCAAACACCAAGGCGGCTCATCTCCGACCCTGCGCAACGTCATCAACATCCCTCTTATGAAACAGGGCTCCCTTCAACAGTCGCTGCCGCAATTTTACGCATCCACACTGACTACACAGGATTTTAACGTCTAACGTTCAAGCTGACTCGACGCGCATTATCACGTACATCATCTCTGCCCGTTGCGTCAGGCTGCAATCCCACAAGCGCCCTATAGTAACACCCCGGATGCCCATCAAACCGCGAGCTACTGCACGACATCAACCATGGTACCACCTGCCAACTCGTGCATCTGGCCTCCACCGCTTGACACCTGTAAGAATACACAGACGCCCACACACTAATGCCACCTTACAGCAAAACCTGCGCCGGTACATCTAGCTCGTGCCGACCTAAGCCGAGCACACCACCCAAAGCACTTGAAAGCCATATGCAGCAGATACGACAGTAGTGGAGTGTGTTTTCGCAGACCGAAGAACTGCCTGATGCACAGCACAATTTTCTATATTCGGCACGACCTGCAGCACTCCGACTTCGCCTCGTTATCATCCGGGCCGAATGGCGGAGCAAAAGGGACGAGCCTAAGCTAATCACCCTGAGATTTTCGATACGAACGCGTGAATGGACAGGATGGTAGATCTGCGGTGCATATCACATGTACCGAGATCGGTGAAGATGTGTCGTGAAGGGCAAGATCGTTCTCCGACAATATTCGCGTCTCCTTCCGCAAACTTATAAGAATGCCTGTGCGAATACACCGACGACTTGGATATCCAATACCGATGTGTTGTCTATCCAAAACCAATAAATGAGAAATCAGAAATACGGCAGCCTCAAAACATATGAAAGCCTTATATTGTCAAGAGACAAGACAAGACAAGACGCATCGGATACCCCCGGCCTACCGCCCGTCCAAAAAGACGATTCATGGTTCGCTCAAAAAGGATACCCCCTCACCCCATCTTCAGCCTCAACATCCAGCCCCGCCTCCACCTGCTCTTGATGTTTCCTATCTAAATAGTCCAACAGCACATCTCCATACATCTCCTTCCCCTTGTACCGACTCACATCGTCCCCCCAAGAACGAATCGCACTGGCTAGTCTACCCGGTACGTAGGGCTCCTGTGCGATTTCCGTGATGGGGTGGAAGTAGGTCCGGATTGTGAAGACTACGCCGCCGGATTTGGGGAGTCTGGTAGTGATTGTCAGTTAAAGTAGTCCGTTGCTATTGATGTGAAGCGTGGACAGGTAAGATGGAGACTGCGAAAGGGATATTCATGACGGTGAGGATGTTGTTGACGTACCTCCTCAGACTCTGTCTCTCACTCCTAAACCAATGATGCTCAACCGCCTTGTTCTTCTCCGCTGTAAACCAGCCTATCCCGCCTTCTCCCTCTGTATCTTCAGGCCCTATACTAGAGCTCCACGCGAGGTTGTCGTCGACTTGGATGAAGTAATTGTTTCGTAGCACGGGGGATTGGGGTTGGATTCGCCGGAAGAAGTTGGACATTGGTTTTTCGAGTTTGGTTTTGAAACTGTTGTTCAGCATTGTAAGCAAATCGTGCGTCAACTGAGGGAGGCTAGGGTTGGGTGGAGAAGGATGGAGGTGGAGGGAGAAGAGGGGAGACAGCATACCCAGGCACATCCCCACTAGTATGAATAGTAGACAGCGGCATCCCAAACTTATCCTCCAACCTCCAAAACCCTGCTAAGAGTATCGCACCAGCGAGGAGATAATACTGTCCATCTTCCTTTTCAACCATAATAGCAAGATCATCCTGAACCAACCTCGCACACATCTCCATCGCATCCTCCTTCACGCCATTCCTCTCCAGTCTTTCAACATCGAAGATTTCGCCCGTGGCCAAATTCCTGAATCCGTTCTTGATACCCTCGGAAGAGGGGATGGTCTGGAAGACGGTGGGATAACGTTGTGGTAGGTAGGAAGATAATTCTTCGAGGAGTTCCACTGCGGCGGGGACGGCTTCTGGGGCTGTTCTGATGCATTTCGCTCCTCGCTCTTCTATCCGTCTTGCTTTTAGGTCGTGGAACTGCATATACTGATTGTCGAGTTCTATCCATTCGTCCCAGTTCATGTTGCGAAGACCCATTGTGATGTTGTACTTCGGGCCGTGGCGGAAGGGACGGTAAGGGAGGGGCTTAGTGGTAGTGAGAGAGAAGGATGGGTAGGGGGTCGCCGGAGGCCGGGTGAAGTCTGAGGGTGGCCATACTCCTGGAGGGCGATCCGGTGTTTTGAACGGAGACCGTTTCTCGAGGTTGGGTGTACTGGGTCGTGGATTGTTTTGTCTGCGGGCGCGAATTAGGTTGGTGGCGGCGATGGTGAGGTATGTGAATGCGGCGAAGAGGAGGAGGGAGTAGAGTGCTGCTTTGGGTTGGATGTCAGTCTGTTTAAGGGCGTTGTTAAGGCGGGTTTGAGCGTTGGTGCAGTGCTGTTGTATGTCACGTGCAAGACGTCTGGCGTGCTCGTCCAGGTTGGTGATAAGAGCAGCCATGATGAACGAACACCAAGTAATGGGACTACTACCACCGACTCCAAGTGTAAAAAAGAGAGGACGTCACGTCCATAGTATAAGTAGTCACAAACAGAACAGCACAGTACCCAATGACCGTACACATCATGCGCGACATGTAAATCGACTTCCTATTAATTCATCTGGGATATGTACAAGCCAATCGTCTTCCGCGATAACGACCCTGGACACTGTGGGGTTGGTGCGCATGTGTCGTCAGTAGTGGTTATCTTGTCTGGGCGGGGAAAGGAATACCCCACTCGGTTAGACCTGGTGTCTATCGATGCGACTCTTGATAACAGGGATGGACATCCTCGCACCACGTCTGCGATGTGGTCTTGGGGCTTAACAATTTCACAACGTGTTTTGATGAGTTGCACCGTGACGCCGTTGGGGAAGAGGAGTTGGCTTTGGATTTGGTATCCTGTCTGCGTTGAGTCCGGATTACCCCCACTTTGTATCCGACGACTGGTATTCACATGTGTATACTATGCGTCTTTCCGATCTGTGCGTTGTAGCAAGCAGTAATCGCCCCATTGACGACGAAAATTTGCTGGGATCACGGCTAGGTCTGGAACCCAGAGCATGCGACTGATGGTATGGGTCTTGCTTGCGTCTAGGAAAGGAAGGCACTTCAACGCTTTCCAGTGTTCTTTGTCGGAAATGTAATCCGGCTCAAGAGCTGTTGGGGAGGCGCCAGCAGAGCGAGAGTCTACAATGAAGTCGCACTGCTCAATGTCCGTCTGTTTTGTCAGATTAGTGAGGTTCATGTTCATATCTCTAGCTTACCTACATATTTGCTAGGATCTTCCAGGTTCTCATCGTTCATTCCGGATGGTACGAGCCAGGTGCCGGGGAATAGTCCGAGACTGGCATCGGCTTCGCTGAACTCGCCTGGTAGGAGGCCTGAGAACTCGCTCTTGATGAACTTGGCGCGGACACCTTGGGGTAGGTTGAAGGAAGACGGGAAGCGATACCACTCTTTGCCTAGACATACAGTGTCTCCCGAGCGTGCAATTGTGGGGTCGAACAATGGCTTGTAAATGTTCAGTGGCGCTGAGTATGCGGACATGTGACCTGAAAAGTGTTAGAGATCTGTTCAAGGTTCTGCCAAAAGCGCTAGCACTTGTTGATCGATGGTATGAGAGGTGATACATACCATGAATTCTAAGGATGCCCAGATTCAAGGACAAGATGATGGGAACACAGACGATGACGAGCTTCACCATTGGAGGTATTTTGCTGACTAGGTGTCGTGGGTTCATCGAACCAAAGTTGGCTAGCAAGATGTGCAAAGAGAGGGCCGCGTTCCATGCTAATCCAGGATACGCTGGATACATGAACCGCTCCTCTTTGTGAGGCTGGACGGTGAATATTGCCAACCACAAGTAGAATGGGCTGACGAAGGTGATGGACCTCGTGAGCGTGTTCCGATAGACAGCCCTGTCAAATACGAGGTACTGGATCAGCAGCAGCGGGAGAGCAGCCAGCGCGAGGAAGAACCAAATGTTGAAGTTGAGCGCTAGATTTCGAACGTAGAAATGCCATGGCTCTACACCGTAGATATCAGGGCCTCTACTACCACCACTGAAAACGTTGTATAAAACGATGTTGAGCGGCACGCACACGAGCTTCCTGTAAAACAGCGAGTCGATGGCGGTCTGCAAGATTACGATAGCAAGGGCTCTAGGTGCGCCTTGAAGTAGTATGCGACGCAGACTCTCTTTGATAGTGCCGGTGAACACGCCCGCGACGAAATCTTCCGCAATAAAGGGAAGGGCGAGCGCGCCTGCAAAGGGCCAACCCAAAGCACTACCGACGGCGAACCATGCAATACCTTGTGCAGTCCTCATTTTACGTCCGGACCAGTCCATGAACGACGCAAACCCAAGCATAGCACAATTCATGGCGAAACTCGACGGAAGATATGCAGGGGAAGCATGATACATGCCGGGGCTTATGACCATGATCATGGCGAAGAAAGACGCAACGCGCACCTCGAACATCTTCATGATAGCCGTGTACATGCGAGACTGGCATCCTGCGCAGACTATGGCTAGGACCGCTCGCAGGAAGTAGAACTCGAACACCTTGGATCTTTCCAAGCCTAGCGCTTGCAGAGGCAGCGCCGCGAGCCCTATTACGAGCGAGTGTATAGCAGTGTAGGCCCAGCTTCGGATGGCATAGTCAGGAGAGTACTCCCAAGTCTGGAGGCCGTAGCCATGGTTGAGGTAGTGGCTTGGTTCCCAGTAGTTGAAGACTTCGTCGCAGTCTTGGATTGGCGAGAGGGCGGCGGCGGTGAGGTTGGCTAGGGCGAACACGCAGAAGATGCCGAACGTGGAGAGATGGGGTGGTGTACTGGACACATGATGCATACGTTAGCCTGTGATCGCAGGGTAGGGGATTGTGGCATGGCTCAATTGAACTCACTCAGGGGCCGAATGCGCCGTCTTTGAGCGCGATGCAGACATGTCAGCGACAATGATTCCAGAACGTGACGGCAACCTCCATCACAGAGTATCGTCACTTTCACAGAATGACGCGGTGGGTCTCGCGGTCATAGGGCTGAGCTGCGCGTGCCCGCCAAGCTTGTTAGCGCGCATCCAAAAAGGCGACGTTCTTCCCTGAAGCGCTCCTTTCAACCAGAACTATCATCGCACGCATTTAAGCAAACTGGTGCAGACAACGCAGTGGATAACTCAGCCATCACGCGTGCTTCAGAGAAGACTGCAGAGAGAGACACGAGCAATGTCCGACTCTCTGGAACCACCGGCCAAAAGGGCGCGGTTGGAGGCGGACGCTCCCTTTTATGGCACATCTACATCTGCATCTGCGCTCGACGCGCCGGGCTCGCCTGTCGATGACATGGACGACGACTTCTACGACACTACGCCCGTCAAGCCCTCTGCGCTGCCCTCACAGGCGGACGGAGCGCCGTCGTTGTCTGCTACGGCGGCACCCGCGCCGGCCTTTCACCTTCCTGGACTCGGCTCTGTGAGCGAGACCCCGGCCGCGCAGTCGCAGTCGCAACCACAAAACGGCGCAGTCGTCCCAGACGACGCCCCGGAAGACGGCGAGCTCTCGGATGACGAGGCCTTCTACAATGATGCGAGCCCGCAGGCCGCCATCCCAGTCGAGCCGCCCGTAGCCAATCACGGCCAGGCGCAGGATGAGGCTCCACAGCTCCAGGCCGTCGCTGCTGCCGACACGCCTGCTGCCGACACAGACGGCGAGCTCGACGCGGCCCTGACCGCCGCCATAGACCTCCAGAACGAGATCGAAGACACCACAGATGCTCCTGCCCCCGACGGCGCGGCCTTCGATAGCAAGGCCGAGTTCCTGCGCGCGGCCGAAGCCAACAGAAATGACCAGAGCGCCGAGTGGCAGCTCGACTCAGATGCATCCGACTCAGACTCATCGTCCGACTCCTCCAGCTCCGACGACAGCTCCGACGAGGGCTCAGACGAAGGCGAGCTGCTCGACCCCGAGGAGCAGGTCCGTCTCCTGATGGCTGAGGCCGCCGACGAGCCAGGCGCATCCGGCCCCGTCAAGGTCAAGACGCTCAACGAGCAAGACGAGAAGTTCGAAATGCCCGACATCGCAGTCACGCCAGAGACCAAGATCACAGAGCTAGGCAAGGTGGAGTCCATCGTCGGGAACCTCGTTGTTGTCAAGGCCAAGATGTCTGGCGACGAGCAAGTGCTGGAGTCTGGCTCGGCGCTGTGCCTCGAAAACCGCACGGTTGTCGGCAAAGTCTCCGAGCAGATTGGTCGCGTGGAGGAGCCGCGCTACTCCTTTGGCTTTAACGATGCCGCTGAACTCGAGACTCTAGGTATCAAGAAGGACGTACCCATATACTATGTCGACGAGCACTCGACCTTCACCGAGACAGAACCCATTCGCCGACAGAAGCACACCGACGCATCGAACCTCCACGACGAAGAGACCAACGATGTCGAGTTCTCAGACGACGAGAAGGAGGCCGAATACAAGCGCGAACAGAAGGCTAAGAAGCGAGCCAGGCAAGAAGGCAACGACGAGCCAGTGGTGCCCGTCAACATCCCGACCGGACCTAGACTACACGTCGACGCTCCCGCCCCGCCCATCTACCGACCCATGGAATATCAGGGCGGTGGTTTGAAATACAGCGATGACGAAGACGAAGATCTCGGCATGTACAAGCCGCTTGCCAGACCAGACCACTTCGAGCAGATTGTTGGGCAAGGTGCACCATTAGAAGATCGCAGCCATGTTCGCAGAGGTATGGGTCGCGGCAGAGGTCCCTGGGGCGATCGGGGTCGCGGCTTCCGTGGCCGAGGAGGTGGCGGCGGTCGCGGTGACTTCGGTGGTGGACGCGGCGACAGGGGAGGCTATGGCGGTGGACGAGGCGACTTCGGGGGTCGTGGTGGTGGAGGACAGCGAGGCGATCGAGGAGGCGGCAACAACAACAACCAGAACAACCGAGGCGGTGGAGACAAAGGTGGACGTGGCGGCAAGAATCAATCTGACCGTGGCAGGCAACCAGAGCAGTTCCAAGATCGCCAACAGAACAACCAGAGGAACCAATACCAAGAAGGACGGTCCGCAACCTCGGCATCGCCAGCCCGCCAACAGCAAGATCGCAGCCAGTCTTACACTCAGCAGGACCGTGGCCAGTCTCAGCAAGCCCAATCCCAGCAATCTCCAGCCGGTGGTGGTGGGAAGAACAAGAACCGCAAACAACGGCAACGTGAGAAGAGGGAACGGGAACGCCAGCAACAACAACAGCAGCAGCAGCAGTCACAACAGTCTCAACAACCTCAAAAGCAGCAGCAACAGCAACATACTTCTCCGGCACCTTCTGGACCATCAAATGCTAACGCTTATGCAAACAACAGCAGCGCAGGTTGGCCAGTGCCTTTCTCCGGTCCCTCACAGCCAGCGGTCCCCTATGCTGCCGCACCTCCGCCTCCACCGCCAGCAGCAGCAGCGGCCTACAACTA